ACCTACTCCAAGTTTTTCAAGACTATGAGTGAATATGTCATCCGTGGAACTGCCTAAATTCGCTGTTTGCTTTTCTACTAGACCTGGGAAACCAATTTTATCCAGACCCAAAACAACACGCATGACGAGACGTGTACGCTTGGTTCTGACTAATGCGAGATAAAATATTGAAGCAACAATATTGAAAAGATATATTGAGCCTATTCCGCCGACTCGAAATCCAAAAAAGGTCGGTTTGCTCTAACCCAGACAAACAGCAAAGCATCGTCGTAATGTCAGCCTCGGGGCTGGTATTTTTCATGCGCTTGCGTCGGACTTACAGTTTACCGGGCACCGCCTCAAGTCACACTATACTGCTTGCAGTACTGACGTCAGGTTCTGTGATCGGATGAGGCGATCAGGGCAACAGTTGCACGCCACCATTTGGACAGATTTGGTCATATTCAAAAATATGATTAACATCAGAAATTTTGTCTTGTATAGCTGCTAATATATTGCAGCGTCATCGTCATGTCTTAGCAGGGCCACCTCTAACTGAAATTTATGTATGCCTGTCTGCTAGCTCTCACGAGAGAGCATGATGAGCTCTCACCTTAGCCAAACCACGCCGGAACATGACCTGGCTTAATCTAGTCACTCTTACCCAGCGCTGGCGTATCATCGTGATGTAGCTAAGCCTCGCTGGAAGGTGTTCATTGTCGGGCACACTACTCCTGCTTCACTAGAATTACCAAGCTTCATTCGCTTCAGATGAGAAAACTGGACCATGACAATGTAAATCGATTCATTGGGCTATCAGTCGATGGTGCAGAATACGTAGCAATTTGGCGTATGTGCACCAGAGGCACTCTACAGGTTTTTTTCTTGAAAATTGCCAGCTATCTATTTTATTTGCAAACCGTTGCGTTTGATTTCCAGTGTTCATTGTTGATGCTTTAGGAAATAATCTTGAAAGGTTCATTACTGATTGATCCTTTCTTTATGGTGTGTATAATAAGAGATGTCGCTGAGGTAATACATCTCTATATAAAGGCTACCATGAGATCAAACACAAAAATTTTTTGCTCATAGGGTCTTCGATACCTGCACAGGCTCATTCATCGCCTCACATGGTCGTCTCCGCTCGGAATGTTGTTTGGTAACAGACACTTGGCAAGTTAAGATATCGGACCACGGTACCACGTCATTGCGAGAAGAGGATCTCCTCAAGAAAAAACGTAAACATTTCCAAAATATAATTCACAGATAAGAGAAACGTCCCACTACTTTAGACAGGACGGGAAGGCGTATATTAATATCATATAAAACAAGTTTTCCTTGGCGTTAGGACCTGTAAACTACTGTAGAGGTATGGAATAACAGCCAGTCAAGTACAGGGAGGGGGCAATAAAATAAGACACTTTTCTCCCTTGACTTTCGAGGCGCTATAAGTTACACTTTACTGAATTCTTATCGGATCTTCCTTACTACAGATACCGCTCCTAATTTCTGGTCAATCGACGGTTTGCGACAGATTTTTCCGTCGCAAACCGTCGTTTTGCCATAACTTCCGTAGAAGTGGTCCAAATTATTTGAAAATCCACTGATGGATAGCTGAAACCACGACGAGTCTAATGGTCTATGAACCGTTCGATTCTGTTCAGTTTGTTTGGCCCTTGTTTTTTGACGAATTCTACTGTTGAGTCTCCACTGACCTTAGGTGGTACCTGAGGACATGACAGCGTCGTAAACCCTCCAGTCCGATGGCGGAATTCAAACTGAGGGGGGCCGCGCGTTTCAAAAGTTCGGACCACCAACATATTTGGGTAGGGCGTGTTTCCGTGATCATTTTGTACCGGTTTCGATAAGGTTTCGATGAAATTCAGTGCGAAATAAAGGTTTTCCCTGAGAGCATGCGAGAACTGCATTTTTTGACCTATGGATGCATAACTATGCCTTCGGATCTCAACTTTTTGGGTGTTCAAATTGGTCACAAGTAATTTGAGTCGGTCATAGGAATGCCTTTCAACCTATTTATAAGACATAGTCGACACATGCTCTCAGAATTTTGGTGATTTATTTTCCACACATTTGATCGCGGCCATTCGCGCAAGTAATCTGTGGTACTGGCGGCGAAATCGCTAAAGGGTTGTGGATTTGGTTTAGTGCTGAGTAGAAAATTCAGCACACGTTCCATTACTAACAAGCGATTCTTCCGCAATAAAGCCCTAAACCTCGGTGTTTACCTAGTCTGACACAATAATCACATTTCTTCCATATTTGAATTGGCGCATCATCCTAGCAGGTCAACTACAAAAACAGGCAAGGAAAGTCTCTTTAGAACACTTGCTGTAGTATCATATAATCGGAAGTTTACCGCTCCAGGGCAAGTCCTGTGTTTGCTACAGTGTAACAAATCTTGTACATCGCCACGTTTTCCGTTTCAAAGATCGGCATTAGCCGAATTAAAGAGAGCCTATTGAGACCTGTATGGTTGGATTCTCTGAGAAAAATGCTACCCAACGATGTAAAAACCATGTCCTATCGACAAAGACACTTTTTTCATCCACTTGTTTTTCGGAGGCTGGGGTTGGCGATCAGCTTCTATTTGACTTCTGCGCTGTACATAGAATTTCAGATTCTTTTATAAGGTTCCACATCGTTGAAACCAGCTCGTCGAGCTCTTTCCAGTGGTATTTTCAAATCACGGAAATATCTACATTTGAGCTTCCGATCCTACCAAAGTACCTAAGGAGACCGATTAACGAGCGCCGCTTGCCCTAATTATTACCAGAGGAGATAAGGTCCCATTAGGGGCACTGACAATAGCACCATTATGAATACCATGACGTAACTCTACACTGACTACATTTCTTTCAAAAAAGTATATCAAAAATCTTGTTCCCCAGTGGTGCCATTCACTTCCAAGTTCTGGTTTCCAAACTCATCGTTAAATGGTTCATAGCCGCTTTGTCATTTTTTATCATGTTACTGTACCTTTTCTTGTTGAAAAGTAACAATTGTGGATTGAGATCTGACGTGTCCACACAATGCCAGCGTTTCACTGCGCTTCCTGCCAACAGCTGAAATTTCAAGTTTTCAAGAGAATCAATTTTCCGGGAAAGACATCAGAAAACTATATCAACCGCGTATTAAAGCAGTTGGCACAATGGTTTCCTACTTTGCCTAAAATGCCAGTATTCCTACTTTGCCTAATGCCAGTAGGGCGCTGTATAGTGGGGAAATGGCGAAGAACGGAGTGAAACGGTCAAAGTCCTGCGAACAAAAGAGCCTCAGTTCTCAGTGTGTTAGAAATCAATTCTGGACAACTTTCCTGTAGGCGTCCTGCCAATAACCGCTACCGAAGATACAGGTGCATGTATACAGGTGCATGTGTACCCATATATGCATGCAGCATCACATCCCTTTGCTTCTATAATTTGCTCTTAAGCAATGAAGTGAATAATCGAGAACAGGAACGGTCGTTATTTGTGGGCTGGCGGGCGTGACGGGCGTTTGGGGCGTAAAGTTGTGGCTTGATAGAACCCTTATAAGGGCACCTTCCTCAGGAAAGCACTATGCAGCGCCTGCCAGGGTCGCGGAATTCTATCCTGCCAGGAGTATTGATCCTAGTTACACCTTAGGATTTCGTGCCCAACTGCCTTTAAGACAGCTATTCATCCACATGAAGCCTTTGAAATGACCCCCGCAATGCATCTAAGCCCTGGGCCTCTAACCACTCTGACCGATGGTAGCCAACCCCATCGCCTTCCTGAATGGCTGGGACGAAAAATGCACAAAAACAAATTATTTCACAAGTCTTTAAGGTAAAGTTAGGCTGGAGAATTTCGTGTCTTGTATCGAAGTTCAATTCACTATCGGAGTGAGAAACACCGTTCAAGAAAAGCTGTAGTTTCCTCGGACCACTTCATTGCAAAATTGCACTATCATAATGTGCTAATGTCAAGTGCCCCTAATGGGACCTTATCTCCTCTGGTAATAATTAGGGCAAGCGGCGCTCGTTAATCGGTCTCCTTAGGTACTTTGGTAGGATCGGAAGCTCAAATGTAGATATTTCCGTGATTTGAAAATACCACTGGATGGAACGTAAGCTGGTTTTCAACACGAATGTGGAACCTTATAAAAGAATCTGAAATTCTATGTACAGCGCAGAAGTCAAATAGAAGCTGATCGCCAACCCCAGCCTCCGAAAACAAGTGGATGAAAAAAGTGTCTTTGTCGATAGGACATGGTTTTTACATCGTTGGGTAGCATTTTTCTCAGAGAATCCAACCATACAGGTCTCAATAGGCTCTCTTTAATTCGGCTAATGCCGATCTTTGAAACGGAAAACGTGGCGATGTACAAGATTTGTTACACTGTAGCAAACACAGGACTTGCCCTGGAGCGGTAAACTTCCGATTATATGATACTACCTGCGCAATATGTTCTAAAGAGACTTTCCTTGCCTGTTTTGTAGTTGACCTGCTAGGATGATGCGCCAATTCAAATATGGAAGAAATGTGATTATTGTGAGACTAGGTAAACACCGAGGTTTAGGGCTTTATTGCGGAAGAATCGCTTGTTAGTAATGGAACGTGTGCTGAATTTTCTACTCAGCACTAAACCAAATCCACAACCCTTTAGCGATTTCGCCGCCAGTACCACAGATACTGCGGAATGCGCGATCAAATTTGGAAAAAAATCACAAAATCTGTGTGTCGACTATGTTTTAAAATAGGTTGAAAAAGCATCCTATGACGACTCAATACTTCCTTGACCAATTTGAAAGCCAAAAAAGTGAGATCCGAAGGATAGTTATGCATCCATAGGTCAAAAAATGCAGTTCTCGCATGCTCTCAGGGAAAACCTTTATTTCGCACTGAATTTCATCCGAAACCTTATTGAACCGGTAACGAAAATGAACAACGGAATCACGCCCTAACCCAACATATGTTGTCCGACTTTTGAACGCTTTTAGGTTTTTTTTGAAAAAAATTTTTCCCCCCGCCCCCATCGCACTGGAGGGTTTACGACGCGCTGTCATGTCCTCAGGTACCCACCTAAGGTCCAGTGGACGACTCAAACAGTACCGAATTTCGTCCAAAAATAAGGCCAACAAACTGAACAGAATCGAACGGTTCATAGACCATTAGACTCGTCGTGGTTTCAGCTATCCATCAGTGGCTTTTCAAATAATTTGGACCACTTCTACGGAAGTTATGGCAAAACGACGGTTTGCGACGGAAAAATCTGTCGCAAACCGTCGATTGACCAGAAATTAGGAGCGGTATTGTACCATATGCAAGAGCATATTAAATACTATCATGATGCTCCGCCACAGCCTTCTGGACCACCGCCATCGAGAGATTCTGCCACGCAACCATGGTTCGGTGCCTGAGTTCAGCGAGATCGTTGATTTCTCCGCCACTGTAGACCACCCTATTGAACTCCGCCCGAATCGCCCATTTTCCAAGCGTCCATTCCGGTACGTCGTGTTCCACTGACCTATCAGCCTGGCGCCTTGGCCAGCTGTGGTGGAGAACCATGATGTCCTACGATCGTAGCGACGTTGTCGGAGCTGCTCGATGTTGGGGGCCTTTTAGATCAAGAGCACTGATCTCCAGATAGCTATCCATGGGTGGCTCCATACTAGGAGAGTTTGCAGAATGTTTAGAGATGACAGTGAATTTTCCAAAGTGCTTCTGCACAGTCAGGCTGCGACTGAAGATGACTTCATATTTTGGTGTACGTGGAGGTGATGGACGAGAGCCAACTCCTGCTTATAGAGGAACATCTTGAGTATCTTCCGCCCTGGTACTCGTATCCACGGACTGCGAAAATCTTGCTGATATGTAACTCGATCAAAGTGTCTTTTTTTATTGACCCCCCTCTATGTACAGACTACCTCGTGAAGGTCTAAACTCATGTAAATCACAGCAACCGTCCATATTAAAGTAAAGCTCATCCCATTTTAGATTGTTATATCACAAGAGCACCAAGGTGCTCAAATATTCATACACGTGCTCAATTGATAGTTCTAGCTGGAACTCATTCAACGGCTATATGATAAGCTCGATGGGATGAAACAGCTCTATCAGCTGCTTAACTTATTTCAACTCCATTTACTCATCCAGCTATCTCCTTCCCCCCCCCTCCCCACCAATGGCACAGCATCTGGTCAAATGGTTGATTAGCTCAAGTGTTGTTGGTCCTAGAAACTATTTCAATAAATTTGTCTCTCTAATTGTCGCCGGTTTTCTTTCCTGC